ATGCCCCCCACCCATTTAGCCCACTCTCCCTCCAGCAACCTCAGTTTGTTCTCTATAGTTAAGAGTCTCTTATGGTTTGCTTCCCTCTCTGTTTATATCTTGTTTTATTTTTCCTTCCCTTCCGCTATGTTCATCTGTTTTGTTTCTTAAATTCCACATATGAGTGAAATCATAAAGTATTTGTATTTCTCTGATTTATTTTGCTTAGCATAATATACTCTAGCTCCACATCATGGCAGATGGAAAGATTTCATTCTTTTTGATGGCTGAGTAATATTCCTGTGTGTGTGTGTGTGTGTGTGTGTGTGTGTGTGTGTGTGTGTGTTTATACATGTGTGCACACATACACCTTATTTATCCATTCATCAGTTGATGGACATTTGGGCTCTTTCCATAATTTGGCTGTTGATAGTACTGCTGTAAACACTGGGCGGCATTGTGCCCCTTTGAATCAGTATTTTTGTATCCTTTGGATAAATACCTAGTAGTGCAGTTGCTGTGTGGTAGGGTGGTTCTATTTTTAACTTTTTGAGGAGCCTCCATACTGGTTTCCATAGTGTCTGCACCAGTTTGCATTCCCACTGACAGTGCAAGAGGGTTTGCCTTTCTCCTCATCATCACCAGCAACTGTTGCTTCCTCAGTTAATTTTAGCCATTCTGACAGGTGTGAAGTGGTATCTCATTGTGGTTTTGATAAGTATTTCCATGATGATAAGTGAAGATAAACCTCCTCATTTAGTTTGATTTCCCTTATTTCTATTTCTAGAAGTTCCATTTAGTTCCTTGCCAAATTTGCCATATTACTTTTAGAGATGACCATTCTTTGCAGATACTAAGCATGGTTATTTATGTATGATTATAGTTATAAGTTCGTTTATAGGCCTTTTGACAGTATTTAAGTCTTTAGGACAGATTTCGGTTGTATCCTTTTCTCTTTCCCTTCTTGCTCTTGAAAACTTGTATGAATTATTTGAGGTCTAGGATGCAGGTGCCTTTCACTTAACATTTGGATATGTAGGTGCTTTCAGGCAGAGACTGCTTTGAGCCTGTGACTGGAGGTTTGGGGACCACACTGATAAAGCGAATCTGGGCTTTTGTTCAAGCAAACTGCTTTATTATCCCTGATAATATAGCACTTTGGGGCTCCTGTTTAAAATTTTTTTTTTTTAATGTTTTATTTATTTCTAGGAGAGAGAGAGACAGCGTGAGCAGGGGGAGGGTCGGAGAGAGAGGGAGTCACAGACTCTGAAACAGGCTCCAGGCTCTGAGCTGGCAGTCAGCACAGAGCCCGACGCGGGGCTCGAACCCACGGACCGCGAGATCATGACCTAAGCGAAAGTCGGACGCTTAACCGACTAAGCCACCCAGGCGCCCCATTGGGGCTCCTGTTTAATGTGGAGTGTTGCTATAAAGATTTCTTCCCACCTTGGATAGGTCCAGGGCTTTTGATTTCACCTCTCATAGTTAAAACTGAAATTCAAATTTGAGATTGGCAGTTGTTCTCAGTGTCTTAGTTTCTGATTATCATTTTGCTTTTAGTTTTGGGTTAGTAATTCCTTATTGTCTTACTAGTGTTTTCCTCGATTTTAAGATTTTAATAGATATTTATTCTGTACTTTGAATTATTTTTTATTGGTAGAGTAGGTCTACAAAATTTAGCTTGTCACTGCTAGAAATGGAAATTCTTCAGATCTCTTAGCAATTTCATGTCCAATAAATAAAATTCTCATTGATTGTTTAATGTTGGATGCAGTAAAAAATAACTAATGTAGGTATTGGCTGAAACCTGTGTTTCTCCATGTGATCTGAGTATCTGAGAACCACCTACCTCAGAAGCTGGGTTTCTTGTTTACGATGCAGATTTTTGGGTCTACTGTCTCAGACCTGTTCGTTCAGAATCTGGGCATGGGAATCAATCTTTTTTCTTTTAAATGAACTTATTTGTAATGTTAGATTTACAGAAAAATTGTAGAGATACTCCAGAGTTACTATATGCCCCTTACCCAGTTTTCCTTAATGTTAACATCTTATGTTACCATGGACATTCACTGGTCAGTCTGTACATTTTAACAATCATCTCAGCAACTGTTTTACAGAATACTGACCCTGTGCTAAGATAATTAAAAATGGACAGAATTCAAAAGTAGCTTATGTTTATTAAGGGTTTAGTAGATACCAAATACAATCTTTTATGAGTTTGCATCTTTATAAGAGCAATTCAGTGAAGGAACAGTTTTTTTTCTTTTTTTTTTTCTTTTTTTGTCGATGGTAATTAAGACTAGAAGTTGTTTGCCTGAGCTAGATTTTTATGAAGCTGGTGTCAACCCAGATGATTGGAGTATAAAATTAGGCCTGCTTTAAAAAAACAAAAATGTGTACAACCAAGAAATCTGATTTAGCTAGAGTGGGGAGATTGGAGAAGGCCTCTACAAAGAAGTAAATGCCATCCTGTCATTGAATCATCTTTAATAAAGAATCAAAACAATTTCATTTTAAGAATTTAAATGTAACTCCACAAAGCAGTGTAGCCATTTTTCTGAGTACATGTTAACATGTTATACAGATTTTAATTTAGAAGTTTTGGGGAGCTTATTTCATATTTTTGATAATTGTTGGACTTACTAGACTATATATTCAACCCAGCAAATTTGAAAATGTTAGCAAAATGTATTCATATATGGGAAAACCAAATAATGGAAAATGAAACACAAGTTCTCATTTTTTTTTTTTTCAGGTTTAATGAATATTGTTTCTTACTGTCTCTTAGAAAACAGTCATGTTATTTATTTATTAATTCATTTAAAAAATGTTTCACATTTACATCCAAGTTAGCATATAGTGCAACAGTGATTTCAGGAGTAGATTCCATAATGCCCCTTACCCGTTTAGCCCCTCCCCCCTCCTGCAACCCTTCCAGCAACCCACTGTTTGTTCTCCTTACTCAAGACTCTCCGTAAGTTCTCATTTTCTCCTGGTCTTAGTAGACCAGGTTAGGTTTCTGGTATATCTTTACAGAAATGTTTTATTCATAAACCATGTGCATATTCATATGTATATACACATTCTTGTCCAGGTTGAATTTTGCCATGCACTCTGTGCTCTTTCCATATCAACTTACATCTGCTTTAGTTTTGACTGCAGACCGTTTTATTATATGCATATTCCATGCTATCACTAAGTTTATTTTTGATGAGGTAAGTAATTGCAGCTGCTGTGCATGTAAGCTGTATGTGTACCTTGAAGGATGCAGTGATTGGCAAAAGCACATATAATCCCTTAAATATGAATCTTGTGCTCTGGTTAGTTGGGAGAGATAGACCTTAGTCAAATAACACTAATCTGCAATTACAAACTTGAGACATTTTATGATGGAAAGAAATAGAGCTTTATAGGAGTGTGTACAACCAAGAAATTATTTAGCCAGAATGTACAGGTTGGAGAAGTCTCTGAAAAATAAAACTTTGAGCTAAGAGCCAAAGGATGTGTTAACTGACATTGTGGAAGAACCTTCTAGGCCAACATGAAAAGCCACAGGCTCTTAGATTCATAATTTTTTTTTCATGTTAGAGTCTTACAAATGAATAAGGCTGGAGATGGACATTTTAAGGTTTTTTTTGTTTTGTTTTGTTTTTAAATATTCCTATGGCCAAAGTACTCTTCAGAAAGAAAATAGTTTATGGAAACACTAGCCACATTTAAGAATGCAAAAGCCCATGGGGCTTCTCGGTGGCTGGCTCGGTTGGTTAAGCCTCCCACTTCAGCTCAGGCCATGAACTCATGGTTCATGAGTTTGAGCCCGGCATCTCTCTCTCTCTCTCTCTCAAAAATAAATTAAACATTAAAAAGAATGCATATTCACCACCATTTTCCCTGCATTAAAAGAAAATCCTTGCTGATTTGATAGACAGACTAGAATCCTACCTGTATTTCTTTGACTAATTTTTCTTATTTTTGAATTAATATTTCTTCATTATTGTTTGGTAAGTATTTTGTTAATGTTGGCTAATTAATTACCCAGCATCACTAGAGAAATTTATTAATGCTATTAGAAAAATTGAGTAAATACATTATTAGGAAGAAGTATTTTCTTCATAATTTGTCTAACATCTGAATATTGGATCAGTAATAATACTCCAAATATTAGCACTTGACTGATAAAATCAGTAACTCCTTAACCCTTTAAGTAATAAGCATATAAAACATGCTGATAAGAGGAATCACATCTTGTAGTATTTTGAGAGTTAAAGTTTTAATTTTTAAAAGATTAAAGGGGCACCTGAGTGGCTCAGTTGGTTGTGTCCCACTTCAGCTCAGGTCATGATCTCACTGCCTGTGAGTTCAAGCCCCCGGCACAGAGCCTGGAGACTGCTTTGGATTCTGTGTCTCCCTTTCTGCCCTCCCCTGACTCATGCTGTCTCTCTCTGTCTTAAAAAAAAAAAAAAACATTAAAAAAAGTAATAACAGATTAAAAACTTGATTTTAATGTGGGATCCTAAGCTTGGTTTAGATTATTTTTTTGGTAATTTGTGCATTACCTGTGGCATTGAGCCATTTTTCTACCTGAATATAACACATTTTACCTTAGGTTTTATTTTTCTAAAAGCCATAGTCTCTCAGTTAATGCGGTACTTATCTATTATAAGAAAGAATTTAGGATATACTAGAATGTACTCTGATCAATTCTAACAGTGTTGACATCAGGTAACCAAGAGTTTGTTGACAATATGCCAGCGTATCTAGGGTAGCCTGGGGGCGTGGTGGTTATCAGTAATAAAACACGAGGCGCAGTTGAAGAGATGAGGAAGGTTTGCTTGATATAGGTTGGGACCCAGAGCTTTATAGCAGTCGTTAAGTTGTTTAAAGGGCTTATGTTTGATACAAGAATTATTAAACTTTTAAAAGAGATCTTCAGGAGGGCATAATGAGTACAATAGGTGGCAGATTTGGGCATATATATAAATTTTTGTTGTTATTGTTAACATTGACCTTTCTCTCCATAGATATTTGGAGTTCTTGCAACATGGCAGACATTGACAAGTAAGTGCCAGATAACTGGTTTTTTGTTGTTTTTTTCCATTCCCACAGAATGGCTTCACTTTGTACTGTAATATGGTTAACAGTAGTATTAATAACATGCAAATGTGTGGTAATGACTGTTTAAGACCTGCTATTATAAAAGTCGGATACAGCATATCTAAGACAAAATATCGTATATATATTCATTGTGAAAAATACAGTAAACCATTTGCCAGTGTTTATTCTTAGGAAAGTGCTGAGCACCATAATGAATCATAAATACTTACAAAATTCATTTTCCCATACATGTATTTCCCAAAGGTTTTACTCTACAGTGTAATGTATCATACATACAAGATAAGAAGTGTGTAAAATGCATATGTAGAGCTTAAAGAATATTAGGATGTTTATATTCAAGTTTTTAAAAGTACAACGTTAACTATTTGAAGGCCAGTGTCCACCTTCTCACTTGCATCCTCCCACCTTTCCAGACGTGTAAATACTGTCTTGGCTTTTGTCTAATTCATTTCTTTGTTTTTCTTTAGATTTTTAACATCTACACATTCTCAATCAGTGTTTCATTTTTAACACCTACACATTCTTAATCAGTGTTTCATTTTGAAAATCTGAATAACAGTCACTAACTTAGCTGCATAAAGAGAAAAGCAATATTACAACTGTTAGTTGAAGCCTCCAAGGTAGGAAAATAAAAAGCAAAAAGATTATCTGGGTCATACTCTGGCTTCAGCTTTCCTCAATCAAGACTTCGTTGGGCAAGGTCATGCACTCTAGAAACAGGTTTAATGAAGTTGGCTTCTGGCAGGGTTCTAGTGTGGATGGATATCTTGAGGAAATATGGTAAGGGAGAATGTGCGAACTGCACTATTTGTTGCTTATTTAAGTTATGATTTCCCGTAACTTAAAAGCGGATTAAAACAGTACATTTAGGCATGGAGGCCGTATGTTACAACTATCCACAAGTTGTGGGCAGCAGATCATGGAGGTAAGAAGCCAGGAAATTTAGCACAAGGGCATCAAATTCAAGTACATTTAAGAATCTGGCCAGTCCTTCCACACATAAAAAGATTGGCAGTAGGTATTTTAGTGATAATGGCTTTCAAAGTGCTCTCCTGTATTGCACTGCTCCAATTTGGACTGCTTAACCTTGGTTATACACTTGTCATTGTGGATCTATTTTATTATCTTCCTGGGTTTTGTTCCTTTTCTTTTGTTCCTTCTCTTGGGTTTGCTGTTTCCCAGGTTATTTTCTTTTGGTTCTTTAGTACTTTCTTGGGCAAGTACAAGGGAAATAAATTATTTTGAGATCTGACATAACTGAAAATGACTAGTCTATCCTTATGTTTGATAGTTTGAGTGTAGACAAGTGTAGACTTCTAATTTGAGAATCCATTTCTTCAGAAATTTGAAGGCATTGCTCCATTGTCCGTAGTAGAAGGGAAATAAATTATTTTGAGATATGACCTGACTGAAAATGACTAAACTATCCTTAATGTTTGGTAGTTTGACTGTAGAATTGTAATTTGGGGATCCTGTTTCTTCAGAAATTTGAAGGCATTGCTCCATTGTTACTTTGCTTCCAGTATTGCTTGTTGAAGTTCAAAGTCATTATAATAATTCTTGATCACTGTAATGTGACACTTTTTGTCTTAAATATATACATATATATTTATTTCTGGAAGCTACTCTGGCTTCAGAGTTCTGAAATTTTCACATTGTTATATCTGTTTTTTAAATTTCTTGTGTTAGGCATTCACTGGTGGACCCTTTCAATCTGGCAACTTGATGCCTTTCAGTTCTGGGGAATATTCTTATTTTGTTGATTGTCTTGTTTCTGTTTTCTCTTTCTGGAGCTCCTATTATGTTGTATGTTGAACTGCTTCTAATTATCTTTTGTCTTATTTTCCATCTTTATCTCTTGCTCTTCTTTCTGGGCAAAGCTGAAGAAACTTTATCTTTCAACTCTTGTATTGAGTTTCTAAATTTCTGTTGTTTTAGTTTTCAGGAGTGTCTTTGCTCTCTGTTCCTGTTTTTATAGCATCTTGTTCCTATTTCATTGATTGTAATATATTTTCTCTGGATTGTCCTATCTTTTCTCTGAATGTTTTTCCTCTGTATAGTATGTTTGCTCTTAAATTTTTCTTTCCCCTATTTGTTTTTGTCTCCACGTTACAGCCTTTCTCAAATAGGAGATAATATACTTGATTGTCTGCTAAGATTGGGGTGGGGAGAACATGCAATTGAGGGATGTTTAAAAAAGTTTGAAAAATTTGACTGTTGGAGAGGGAAGGCTTTTAATTTAGATTGTACTGTAAGGGTCATCAGGGTAGGCGTTTGTTGTAAGAAATCCCCATTGTCAGAAAGCTGTTTTTTTCCCTGGGCTGCTCAGATACCCCAGGGAAGAGTATCTGGGTAAAGATCTGGCTTTCAGTGTTGTGGAACCCAAATTAGGGAAAGGTTGCTAGGGAAGGGTCGCTACAGTCAGCACTCTAGTGTGATACAGTCCTACATCTGAGAAACTCTTGGCTGTATCTGTGGTTTAGGAGGCTGAGTTCTCAGTTAAACCCTTTCCAGAGAAGAAACTGCCACGCTTCTGCTAGATAGAGGGAGAGGATCCGAGGATTTAACTACTTAGCTCTTTTTGCTTAGTGCCCTATTTTCTCCACTTTCAGTCCCCCAGCCCTCGCTCCAGAAGTGTCCTTTTTAAGATTCTGTATTTGGGCTAGTTTTCAGCTTTTCCTATTGCTAACCTAAGGATTTCAATTCTCAGTTAAGTTGCTGCTTTTGTCTGCTTGTCCTTCAATGTTTGTCTGTTTTAAAACCCCTTTATCATAATTGTAGTAGGGCTTTTGGAAGGACTAAGATCAGAGGAGTATGTGCAATCTGCCTTCTTAACCTTGCAACCCTCATTTTGTTTTAAACTTTAAAAAAAAAAAGAATAAATTGGTCGTGACAGCTTAATTTCTCACCATCCCCTTATTTAATTTTAGAATGCCTGTGAGCCCTCGGAGGATGGGAGGAAGGGAGAATTAAAGCATACATCAGCAAACTTTCTCTATAAAGGACCTAATTTATAAATATTTAGGCATCTTGGGCCATGTGGTCTCATTGTAGTTACTCAACTCTGCTGTTGTAGTGTGAAAGCAACCATAGGCCATACATAAATTAATGTGGCTGTGTTGCAGTAATGGTTTATTTATAAAAATAGTGGGCTATATTTGATCATGTTTGTGGACTCCTCTTTTAAAGCCTTAAGATACAGATGTTCAGTAAATTAATAAAATCACACTGGAGGAATAGTTACGCCATGTGGTCTTTACTGGCCCTTAAATCTGGGTGTGTTTAAGTTTATATTAAATCAAAGATAATTTCGGAAATAATCTGTATTTCTGATGGGAAGCTTGAGATTCTTTCCCTTCGTTTATAGGAACATAAATTTTGCTGGGAGAATACAGTTGACCATCTCTGTATTTGTCCCCATATGAAAATTAGTATTTGTCTCTATATGAAAATTAATTTTTCAAATATTGTTTCTAAACATGGAAGTAACTAAATCTCTAAAGCAGATATTAAAATGTAAAATCACACAAGGAATTATATGAAGACTTATATATTGACTTTGATATCCTTTTTTCCCTTAATTCCTATTCAAATTGTATGTTCAAAAACTAGATTTTTCAGATGAAATGGGAAGAATTTTATCTTTCCATTTTGTCCTTCTCTTTCAATGGTGCCATCCTCCTGGCTTTGCTCTAAGCATGAAGTAGACTCAGGTCTTCTTAACTTTTTGCCCATCTCTACTATGAAGTAAAGAAAAAGGAGGAAAGTCCAAAGATAGTACAGGTCAATGTGATTGCTCCATAGCCTTCAGGGATCCAGATCTTTGTTTTTCTAAGCTCCCTCATTCTGTTGACTTTTATTCTCTCTCTAGGATGCCTCATGGTCCAACATGGCTGTTGGAACTCTAGTCATTACATCCCTATTCTAGGGAGGGAGCAAGATGAGAAAGGCCTCCTAGCTGTCTACCATCCTGTAAAGGAGGCTTACTTAAAGTTTTGTACGACTTTTTAACTCCGTGCCCAAACAGAGCCACATAAGCCACCTAGCTAAAAGGTAGCTAAAAGGTAGGCTGAGAAATGTAGATTTTTAAAGCTTGGTGTATTGTCTTCTCCTATAAAATCAGGATGCTGTTACTCAGAGTGAAATCAGTGGATATTGGGTAGAGAGCACATACTTCCTGACCTCACATTCCCTGTACCAAAACCTACCAAACCACATTTTTAAAGCTTGAAATAGAGGGATGCCTCCCTGGCTCAGTTGGTAGAACATGTCACTTTTGATCTCAGGTTGTGAGTTCGAGCCCCAGGATGGGTGTAGAGATTACGTAAAAGTAAAATCTTAAAAAAAAAAAAAAAAATGTGTGAAATATAAACTTTACATTTGACCATGTGCTTTTAAATGAAATTTTATGTATTTCCAGTTTGTGCTTGTTTACATATGAAGTTAGAAAGAGAACTGAATTACCTTTTGAATTTCCTATTTCATATTTTTGAAAGAGGCATATTAACCTAGAAAATAAATTGAAGTTTTTCTATAATTTTTTATTTATTTTTTGGCAATTGGTACATTTGAACCTTGGTGTGATACTATGATATTGTAGCAAAGAACAGTCTGAACTTGATCAAGATTTGGATGATGTTGAAGAAGTAGAAGAAGAAGAAACTGGTGAAGAAACAAAAATCAAAGGTATTATTTTAAATTACTTCAGGAGCCAGTGATTTCTGGCACATATCTTCTAGAGGGTAGTAACAAACACTGTTCTCTTTTGGATCCTTGTTTACCTTACCCACATAGCCCATACCTCTAGTTCAGTAACAGTGTGGGTGTGTATGTGTGGGGTGGGGAAGAAAGGAGGGGGAAGGGAGAGTGGAGATGGACCGGTAGTAAGGGAGGGGAAGGTATAGATGTAGTTACTGACCCATCCGAAGTCAGTGTGTATACCCTCTGCTGCTGGAGTGACATGGCATAACTGTCAGATAGCTGCCCAGGAGTTTTGGCTGAATTTAGGAATGCTACAGGTGGTGGTGGGAGTTGTTTTTGGTGGTGCTTCTAAACAGACAACACTAGCCTAGAATTCTTTGAAAATGTTCAGTATTTAATATGTAGAAAACCTGTAGTTGTATGTCAGTCTTTTTAAAAACGTAAACAAAAATCAGTCAGTTTTCTTGAGCAAGTAATTATAAAAGGGAGGGGTAACAATGGTAGTGGTGTACTACTTCAGGTTATGCCCTTAGGTATGGGCCAAGAGCGTTAAGTGTACCAGATGACTCAACTTTTCATTGTTAAGCCAGATGGAGGTTAATTGTGAAAAGACCACTGGACTTTAGCTTCAGCTTTCGTATTACATTTTCTTAAAAGGCATATAGGTCTGATCCCTTAGTGGCCAGTATTGACATTTCTAAAGGCATTTTGGTTATCACAACTGTACATCCAATAATCAAATTAGTATCAGGAATTCACCTTTAAAAACATAGTTGGGAAAGCTAATGTCAATTTTGTGTAATGTCTATTGATGAAGAAGAGATGATATAGCAAAATAATTTGTTTTACCTAAATTCAGTATTTTTGGATTGAGTATGATTTTAGATACCATTAATAAATCATATTTTGTTTGGCTTTAGTTAAACCTTGATTGTTTCAACTGTTAACCTGTTAACATTCTCTGTTAAGACATACACAAGCACACTGCACTATAAGCATCAAATGTTTAGGTAACTCGCTCCATAGTCTTTGTCCCAGGATTAAAACTATATTTGCAATTTTCTAATAGTGTGTATTGTCTGCTTCAAAGCATGATGTGGAGTCATAGGCAGGCATCTGGATGAAGCTTTGAGCTTCTGAAAAATGTGAGGTGGGTGAAACACTACCTAGTAGGAAGAGAAAGGATTTTGTTTATAGTAGTTGTGACAATGGCCTTGAGAAATGGCGGTGTATTAGATCATTAGGAATCTGAACTTTTCTTGGAGTGGATTTTCCTCAGCTTGCTGCCCATCTCTGCTCAGACCAATGATTTGTGGGCTAGTCAGGAAAACTTCATGATTGGATTGTCCTGTTAAAATAGCATAATACATTTTCATAAAATCCTTCTTTCGATGCCCCCTTTTTCTTTTTTTGTTTTTTGTTTTTTAAAGCGCGTCAGCTGACTGTTCAGATGATGCAAAATCCTCAGATTCTTGCAGCCCTTCAAGAAAGACTTGATGGTCTGGTAGAAACACCAACAGGATACATTGAAAGGTACAAGTTCTTCTTTTCCATAGTCCTTATTTATCCTTCTATAATCAGCATTGCAGATGTACCTATTTTTAAGACCATCTAGGACTTATATTAGTAATAGTGGGAAGCTAATGTTTGTTAGTATCTAGTATAGGATTATTGGGAGTTGAAAATTTTGCTGAGTACCACCAACTTAGAGTTGGTTTTTTCAAAGTTTGACTCTTCTCCACAGGAAGTACACTGATCTTAACCATTTCTGAGATTTGTTTGGAGATTTGCTAGAAATGCACAGAATTAGAAGAAATATTGACTTCTTATTTCACTGGTCCTATAAATCATTAACAACAGCACATATATCTTATTCTGCTTATAATTGTTTTTTACTTGGCTTTATGATTTTAAGATCCGTCCACATTGCTTTCTGTATGTTATCTTCTAGTCAGTAGTTTCTAAGTGTCGTCACTTACAGTGATTCATGTCCACCATGTTCTATTATAAGCTTTTTCTTTGATGGATATCTAGATTGCCTCCAAGCTCCATCAACACAAATCCTGTTGTAATGGCCATCTGTGTGCATGCCCTCCTAAAGAACGGTGTGAGACATTTTGGGGGATGTGTACCGAGCACATTGGGATTGGTAGGAGATACACAGGCTTTAAATCCTCCCCAGCTTGCTCTCTAGTGCCCGCGCATGAAGGTTGCTCTGTCCATGTGTCCTTGCCGGCATTTGGTATCATTCGCCTTTATGGGGTTTTTTTGTTTTTGCCAGTCTTAAGAGGTGCAGGCATATTTTGTTTTTATTGTATTTTCTGTTGTGTAATTAGTTTTAAGCTTTTCTTCATGATCGTGAGCCTTTTAGTTTGCTCATTTGTTGTTCCCTTTGTCCATTTTCCTCCTGGGGTTTACTATCTTTTGCAAGAGTTTCTGTGTATTCTAGGTGTTAAGCTCTCATCAGCTTTAGACTTGTAAACAATCTTTTGTGTCATTTCTATTAACTTTATCCATAGCATTCTCCATTAAACAGAAATCCTTAATTTTTATATTTTGAGGTTTTGACCTGTGTCTTATCTTTTTCAAGTTTTAACAAGTCCTTTCTAGTTTCTTCTGTATTTCCTGTTGACTAGTTAGTTTTACCTTTCATCTTTAGGTCTTTAATAATCCCTCTAGAGTCTACTTTTATATTTAGTTAGACATTCAGGGTTTTTTGTTTTGTTTTCATGAGGTTTTTATAACGCTTCACTAAACAGCTCATTTTTTCCCCATTTATTTGTGATTACCACCTTTACTACATATCAGTTTCTTATAAACACCTGTATTTGTCTTGGAGCAGCACTCTTTTGTTTTAATACCTGTTTTAATTAATATGACTTTTTAGTATGTCTTAATATCTAGCAGGGTGATAATTTAATCTTTCTCCCTGTAATTTATTTTCTCCCTGTAGTATCTTGCTTTCTTCCACTCTTCCTCTACCTCTCATTTTCTGTGGAATACACTCTTAAAATTGGCCTAGTGGTATGTAGACCTTTATCCCATATATGGTTGATAGTAAGCTTATAGGGGTTTTCATAAAACAAAACAAACAGTCCCTCCCAAAACACTAAAACTTTTGATAGGAGTTACATTGAATATATATATTAACATGGTAGGGAATTATCCTTTTAATGTTACATTGTCTCATCGATATCCATACTTGTATTTATTGAGATCCTATTCTTTTTTATTACAGTTTTTTTTTTCACAGTCTATTCTTGGTTAATTCCTGTATACTTTAGTTGTGTTGCTTTTGTGAATATAGTATCTTATTTTTTATTGTATTTCCATGTTGCCTGTTGTTGATGTCAAGAAGAGTGCTATTGATTGATTGATTGATTTTTTTTTTTTTTTTGGTGTTGATCTTGTATTCAGAAATCTTGCTACACTTTTAGTAATTTGTTCTTTTTTCTTTTTTTTTTCCTGCCAAAGGCAGAAGATCTTGTCTGCAAGTAATGGCAGTTTTAGCTCTAATCTTTCACATGACGCCACACCAAGTTTGTTTTTCTTTCATTACAGTATTGGCCAGGGCTTGCAGCACTGTGTTAAACACTAGCATTAAACACGACCATCTTTGTCTTATTGCCAGTCTGGATTGTATATAAAATCTCTCCATTAAACTTGGTGTCTACTTAGGATTTTTTTATAACCTTTTTCCTGTATTCAGATGGTCTTTTGACTTTTTCTTTGAATTTATTAAGTACATATTTTTGGAAATTTATATTTCAGATACTAAACTCACCTTGCATTCCTGGAGTAAACTTACACTGAGTTAAGTAATTTAATATTTTATGTAAGGTCCTTTTTCATTAGTGAAATGAACTTGTATATGTATGTACATAGGTATGTACAGTACAGAAACTTTCAGTGAGATGGTAATTTCATGCCCTGGTTTTAGAGTTGGTATCAACTACTTAATGACAAGGCTGCTTTTACTTTTTTCCCTGTTTTCAAAGCAATCTAATAAGATAGGAATTAACTGTTGAACAGTTGAGAGAACTCTTCTAAAAATGGACTTTGGCCTTAGGGATTTGAGAACCCTTCTTATTTGGATTTGCTCTGTTCCTCTTTCCAGTTTCTTGAATTGAATGCTTGAATTGTTTGTTTTGTTTTTTAAGTTAATCTATCTTTTATGGTCTTAATATTTTGTTTTAATAATATAGTGAAGATCTATATGCTGAAGTTAGTAGCGCAGATTTATTAACTGTGTTGTTCAAGTTGTCTATATTTCTGCTTATTGATTATCTGCCTAGCAGTTTCTGGGAGGGATGTGTTAAAAATTTCTACTTAATCTTTTTCCCCTGTAATTCTGTTGGTCGTGGATTCATATATTTTGGAGCTGTATTATTAGCTATATGTTTGTGATGTATACATCTTGTCCTTTTTTTCCAGTTTCACAGAATAAAATGTACTCCTTTGTATTTTGTGATATTTTTGTTGTTGTTATATAAGTTCAGTTGTGTCTGATTAAGATGGCTGTTCCAGGTTATTTTTTGGTTTTTATTTACTTGGCATGTCTTTTTCCATCCTTGTATCTTATCTCTAGTATGAAAGTTTATTTGCTTCATTTTAGAAATTTCAAACTCTTTGCATTTCTTGAGAGTGGTATTGTTTTGGACTTAGCTGCTAGTATTTTATTTTATAATTTATTACACTTCTTTCCTCCTTTTCTGCTTTCCATTAAATAAATCAAGTTGTCTTCTGCTGGCTTCAGTTATTGCATTCTGCTTTTTGTTGTTATTGTAATAAGGCTCAAAACTTAATACCCCTATTGATTTCTTAAATTTACCAATGTCTGTGTTGTTTATAAAGCTACATGCTCTAGTCCTTTTTTTTTTTTCATCAAGGTATCAGTAAAATTTACCAAGATATTTGGCTACCCATATCTTATATAGTATTCCCCGAGTTTTTTTTTTTTTTTTTTTAACTTTCTCAGCAATTAGTTTTAATGAATGTAACGAGTATCTGTGGCATATTTCCTGAAGCCTGGTATGCCTCATAAAGTTTTTGTTTTGCTTTATATCTGAATAATAGTTTGGCTGAACTATAAGTTCAGAATTCTTAAATATTTTAAAAGTTCATTTCTTGTATACAGTGTTTTCTATTGAAGTCTGATGTCAGTCTCATTCCTTTTGCTTTTGTGCGTTGTTTGCTTTTTCATCGAAAACATTTAGAGTTTTCTTTGGTCTTTGATATTCATAGATTTCATTACCCTGTCTAAGGGTTAGAGTAAGGATTTCCATATTACTTTGACTCTGAAAAATGTATTCGTTCCTTCAGATATCTACTTCCCTTCTGTCTTTTAGCTGTTGCTAATTTTGTCGTCCAAATCATAACTTTTCTGTATGTCTTTCCTGCTACCTTCTGGAGAGCATTTCAACTTTAATGGACTTCTTTCAGCTGAATCTATCCAGTTTATCCTCTTTGTTGGTTATGTATTTTAGCTATTATATTTTTCATATTCAATGTTTCTACTTTTAGATTTTTTTGGTCTTGTTTCTTCCCTCATTTCTTTAAATATATTTACATTGTTATACCTAATGTAATAAATATATTACAAATAATAATACGGCTTCAGATGAGAAATATTTCATTCTTTCATTAGAAATTGTATTCCCCAAGTATTTCATTATTTTGGACTTAGAGCTCAGGCTCATTGGCTAATAACAGCTACTCCTCAGTAATGATTATTAAAGATCAGGCTTTGGTTGTGATAGTCCTGTGGAGTTTAAGATGAGGGGATGGGATGAACCTACGGAGAGCTCAAGTTAACACGGACTCAAAGTTTGCTGTCAATTCTAGGCAATTGTTTCTGACGGTTCTGGGACGAGTCATTCTCCTGTGGTTGTAATCCATCGTACCTGGATTGGAGGTGTGGAGGAATGAGTGCTTGCAGGCTCTCTCAGCCCAGTCCAGCTTTCATCAGCTCCTAAAAATGCTGGCACAGGGCTCTGTGAAGGTTGAAGGGGACAGGCACTGACTGTTATAAGGAAAGTGCAGAGTGTAAAAGGCTTTCTTCTAGCCTGTCCTTACTGCTCCCCATTCTGGCCCTCCCCTTCCCAGGTTGCAATTCACCTGGTACAGTTATTAGTCTTACTTAGAAGCTGCTCATGGTCTCTGTGTGTGTGTGTGTGTGTGCGTGTGCGCGCGCGCGCATGCGTGCGCCTAAAATAATTTTTTCCTTCTTGGTTCTAAAGTTTCTAGGGTTGAATTTCTTTGATTTTTAATTTTTTAAGATAGGGTGTGCAGGTAGGCAGCACCCCATGCTATTTCACCACCTTGACAAAACATTAAGCTTTTTCTTTTTAATTGCAAGAAATATAAAATTGATATCTGTAGGTAATTTGTTTTCTACTTCTGATTATCATAACTAAAATAGTGGTTAAAGTGGTTAAGAGAATTATTTGATTTATAATCTACCTATGGCAGGAAATTCTAATCTGGATTCTGGATCTTTTGTGCAGATTCCCTGAAGTAAGATAAATTTTGAGTGGAATTTTTTGGGTGGTAGGGGATTCTTAAGTTTAATCATACTTCAAGGGGGCTTATACCCCATAGTAAATGGTATGATACATGAATTGGATCTTAAAGCTGTTATTAAAAGTCCCTTCATGAAATATAACAATCTTTTTAGAATATAATTTCAAGTTCTAAATTAAATACAGACACTAAAGTAATAGTGTAGGATACCATCCTTTTTTCTAATATACATATGCTCTCCTTTTCCCTAAAAATAGCTGATATGGGTGAGGTAAACTTTTTTTTTAATCAAGGCAATTACCATTATTCTTAGAGTTAAGATGATCAGTCCATGACTTTTTAACTTACAGAAATAGACTGTTTCACAGCTTAGATGCCAGCACTGACAAGTCTAATTCTGAACTTGATTATAATGAAAGATGTAGGGTTGATATGATTTCATTTTCTTATCGACTTACTGTATCTGTTTAAATGTTCACTTTTGAAATATTTTAGAGTCAAGAAGTTCGTGTATTTCTATCTCTTGAATTTTAGTTACTTTGAGTGTACCTTTTGCTTCAAATAGGAAACCTATCATTCACTAACTTTTATGCTTTATTTCCAAAATGATAGAAGTATGACTTGTATTTTACTGTGATGCCATGTAACTGGTGCGTTCCAACCTTTCAGCTTGCCTAGGGTAGTTAAAAGACGAGTGAATGCTCTCAAAAACCTTCAAGTTAAATGTGCACAGATAGAAGCCAAATTCTATGAGGAAGTTCATGATCTTGAAAGAAAGTATGCTGTTCTCTATCAGCCTCTATTTGATAAGGTAATGCTTTCTACTACTTTTGTTTATCTAAAATATGACATAATAAAGCTCTGCAAATATAAACAGACTTGCAGGTGGTTAAGTCTTTAGACCTCTCAGCTAGATGGTTATTAAGAGGTTATTTGGGAAATAAATCAACTCAAGTTGTGGTATGCAATCATGAAAACTATAAGTGTCTTTTATGAGAAACAGCTAGTTTCTGCCTTGGATGTGTTTTTATGCAAGCTTTTCTTTTTAAATCATTTTAGCGATTTGAGATCATTAATGCAATTTATGAACCTACGGAAGAGGAATGTGAATGGAAACCAGATGAGGAGGATGAAGTCTCGGTTGGTACCAACTTTGTGTTTTTATCCCTTGAAAGTATTTTATTGTAAGATGGATAGTGAGTGCAGGTAAGCCACTGTTAAACCTGGCACGATCTGTACCCAAATTCACAAATTCATTTTTCCCTTACCTTTTTATAGTGTTTAAGTTTTATAGATTCGTATAAACTTTTCCTTTGAACTTCAGGATGACATGCAAAGGATTGTTCTTGTTTCTCAAGTTGATGAAAAGGAGGCTTCTTTTTTATTTTTAAGTTTATTTTGAGAGAGATCACACACACATGTGCTGGCAGGGGAAGAAGAGAGAGGGAGAGAGAATCCAAGCAGGAGCCCGACACAGCCTGACCCCACGACTGCGAGATCATGACCTGAGCCGAAATCAAGAGTAGGACCCTTACCCAGCTGAGCCTCCCAGGCACCCCTGAAAAGGAGGCCTCTGAGTGACTTGCCTACACCTAATAAATGGCAGGGTTGTGACACAAATGCAGTGTTCTGTTACATGACCCTGTTTCTCCAACACTGCTTTTTTGATGTTGGTTGATAAAGCAGATATAATGTTTCGATCAAGAACACCAAGGGGTGAAGTGTTGGGTAAGGTGTATATTTCTTTTTTTTTTTTTTCCCCTCCCTCCTCTGAAGCTTTAAAATTTTTTTCTCTAAAACTATTTCCCTATAGTTGATAATAAGGTTTTCCTAGTGTTTCTCTTTTTTGGAGGGGTATGGTAGTTAGCAGTATTTATAGAGCATAAATTTGGCTTGGAATGGTATTAAACAGCAGTGTTTACACAACTAGACTAGAACTTATTTGACTGAAAGTTATAATTGGTGATTGAGGATTTGTTGGTTTCTGTACTTCACCACTGGATGCACGTTAAGGGGTTGGGTAATATTTTATCAGGAGGTCTGATCTAGGTATTCAGTAATGTATGCTGTCATTTATCAAGGAGGAACTGAAAGAAAAAGCCAAGATTGAAGATGAAAAAAAAGATGAAGAAAAAGAAGACCCCAAGGGAATTCCTGAATTCTGGTTGACTGTTTTTAAGAATGTGGACTTGCTCAGTGATATGGTTCAGGTAATTTTATTAATAATAAACACCAGTTTACCTTTGAAATTTAAATGGCTGTGATAACACTAGCCTCTCCATTGTTGACTTTTATAGAATGGTTGTCGTCTTCTGAAACCTGTGTTATCTGTAGAAGGAAAATGTCTTTGATTGATGTAATCAAATAAATTTTAATTCATTTTCAAAAATTAGATAATGAAATGGTCCCTTTCACAGTCGTTTATCATTGAGCGATGTTTTGTTACAGTCTTGTGCCTCCTGTGTTTAGGTGCTTGGTATTGGAGATAGGAAGGAGACTTATAATTTCATTTCTTACCCAAAAAGACCTTTTCAGTCTGAAACAAATATTCCAAGGAATATTTGCATTTTAAGAGAATAACATAAAGATCTTTAAATTGTTGCTTTTCCTGGGAAATCAACACAGATGTCACCTTCTTGTGGAAACTTTTCTGTCCTAATCAGAAGCATTTCTTGAGCTGCTACCATCTGCATTATATGGTATTTGTTGCCTTCTAGTATGATTGTTGGAAGTTAATGTCAAGAAAAAGAAATCTTGGAACAATGACTGCTTATTGCGTTTGTACTTTGGCAGAGTAGAAAAGGACCTAGCAGAATGAAAGGGACAAGAAACAGCTGGAAAAGGAAAGGTTTTTAAAGCAAACATGCCTAAAACTTGGTTTTGGATTCTTCAGCCCATTCAGACTGATGATGATAATGTAGTTTTCTGTTAAGTCACTTTTTTTCCTACCAGTGGCAGTAGAAGTAAGTAGAGCTTATAAGTAAACTAGCTTTAGTATAAGCCATCATCTGGAGAGTAGGTCTTATGGTTCATAATTGTTTTGTAAAACCTCCCTATAAATGTCTCAGTCAGCTAAATGTTTTTGTCCAGTAACAACACTAGTCCTAAAATGCCATGTTAGATATTCATTTCAATATTTTCTTAATTTGCAGGAACATGATGAACCTATTCTGAAGCACTTAAAAGATATTAAAGTGAAGTTCTCAGATGCTGGCCAGCCCATGGTAAAAGAACTTTGAAATAGTTTCAGTCTTGTAACATTAGATATTTATAGGTAGATATACAGAACTTTCTAAAAAGAGGTGATACTCAAAGCTTAGAGATGGGGGTAAGAGAAATTAAAACTCATATTTGCTGCTCTTAATTGTTGGTAGGAAATAGGTGTTTGGATGTTGATAATTGAAATGCAGTATTCCTTTTCCTCCTGCTCTGGTCATAAAACAGCTTTTGAAATCTAGTAAACCTTTTACGCTAGATTAAAAGTAGATAAAAAATAATAGCAAGGGAACAGGAATTTTAAAAAAAGACTCTCTCAAATAATAAATGAATGAAAATAAATGGCATGTGTCTACAAATTACATAAAACAGAAGATATTAAAGCGTCCTCACTTTCCCCCAAACCAACAGGATTATGTGAAGTATGGGCAAAGCTACTCCAGGTTATAGATTCTTTTATTGTGTGTGTAGTACAGTTGGGCTTTTTCCTCTGTCAAGTTCAGGCTAGAATAAGATTTAAAGTCCTCTTTGTGGGGATGGAAGGAGGAAGGAATACTTGCTCTGTTTATTCAGGTGTTGTAACCTATTTTGTAAACATGTTATATAAGCTGAATTCAGTTTTATCCAGTTTTATTTTGTACCTTGTTTTGCTTTTTAAACAGAATTTGGGGGTTATCTGACCCTTTCCCAGAGTGGGAAAAGCATTATCGCTTAGAAGTTTATATGTTTATACAAATCAACAGATTAAGTTTTTATTTACTAAGTCACTGACATTTATGATGTAGGAATTTCATTAGTTTTTATTTTTTTATTTCTTTTTTAAGAGTTTTGTCTTAGAATTTCACTTTGAACCCAATGAATATTTCACAAATGAAGTGTTGACAAAGACATATAGGATGAGGTCAGAACCAGATGATTCTGATCCCTTTTCTTTTGATGGACCAGAAATTATGGGTTGTACAGGGTGAGTTTAATTTTACTACTTTCACAGAATTTATCTCTTTTTAGTTTACTTAGAATTTGTGATACTTGGTATTTCCTACTATGTGCTTAATACTTGATACATAGAGGCATACATAGTTTATCTCTAAACATTTCAATAAAATGTTTTCTGAGAAGAGCTTATCTGTTTTCCTAGAATTCTCCTTGGCTTACAGTATTACAGATAGTTCTCCAAAGCAGTGCACATTTAAATTTATTGTGTTGTGAATTTGTGCCAGTTGTCGGTATTTTATGGAAAAAAATTTGTTGAAATAAAATTTTTCTCTTTCTATGCTACTAAAAGCATTTGAACAAATTTTTCCCTTTAATTTATAATTAAATGTAGTAATTAGATATAAGGTAGCTCTTAAGAATTAAATGTAATATGTTAATTGTGATCGATTTTTTTTTTTCCTCTTCGTTTTGCAAGGTGCCAGATAGATTGGAAAAAAGGAAAGAATGTCACTTTGAAAACCATTAAGAAGAAGCAGAAACACAAGGGACGTGGGACAGTTCGTACTGTGACCAAAACAGTTTCCAATGACTCTTTCTTTAATTTTTTTGCCCCTCCTGAAGGTAAATAGTGTTTCAGTTTGGGTATTGATGGTTGTTTTATTACAAGCTTTCTTTAATTTCTTACTCACTTGAATTTCTTTTCTTAATTTTACAGTTCCTGAGAGTGGAGACCTGGTAAGTTAAATTGTTATTTATTTGTTGAACTGTTAATTGCATATGAAATTAAAGAATTGGTTCTCAAAGGTGGGGAGTTGGATAATTGGTTCTTGAATTTTGTTCTGAGGTTTGCAGTGCATGGAGAAGGCCATTATGCATCTGAAATTATTTCCTTCAAAATGCTTATAGTGCTTCCATTGAAAAGTGCTGAAAGGCTAAAGGCTTTCTTTTGAGACTTGCAAATACTGTGTAGGGGAGGATAGTTTTCTTACTGAAACTAGAATGTATTAAGTTATTTGTACAGTACTTCTAACCACATTGCCGTTAGAACTCTGTGTTATTCCGGTGGAAACATGGTTTCGTATCGTGGCCATGCATTATGTGACCATATAGCCAAGAGCTGTGATTGTGCTTGTGTACAGCCTGGACTGAGGAACAGCCTCTGAGAGGTCGTCCAGGCAGGGTAGGCTAGGTATGTTGTGAATCTGCTCTTTTGTTGGCCAGATTTTTTAACTTAACTCAGGTGGTTTAAATAGTTTTATACATATGGAATTAGATAGTATGGTTTATTTTGAATACTTTTGAATTGGAATAGTTTTAGCTAAGGCTTGGACCAGATGTGTAAAATGCAAGTATTTCTGCCTGAAAAGAGTAGTAAATGGCTTGGCTCAACATAACCTTTTATGACAGAAAAGGGTACTATAAAGCAGCACCTGAATTTTAGGTAGAAAGATCTACCTATGAGCATGGAAGGAGATAGTTACTGCTATTTTCAGTCAGCAGATGGGTTGGAATTTTTGTTCAAGTGATTTTTTTTTTTTTAAGTTCTATTGTCAAATATTGATGGTAACAAAACAATTTTGAGGAGTTCCAGATAGACCACCACCTGTAAATAGAAGTCTTCCCCTCAAAGTCCACTGGCCCCTTCTGTGTGTTTTTGGATGTTCATTATAGTGGATTATGTTGATGAATCAAAATGAACATTCATGGAATTCATGGAATGTTTACTCATTGTTTGGTATCGGGTGTTTTCAGTAATTAATATTTTAAAAGGAAAATTACAGTCCCGTAACAAAGTTGCTTTTATATTTTAATTTTAAGCCAGGAGAAACTAAACAATAACCAGTTCTAAGTTTTATTTCCTAAATTTCTCTGAGTATGTACACTGGCTTGCTTACTTTCTTTTTATTAAAAACCTATAAGCCTAAGGTGTATGTAGATGACTAATGAATCACACACATAAGCTAATTTTAAAATGACAAATAGGAAATTGAATGTTGCTTCATAGGATTTAAACCCAAGAGTCTTGTATGTGCCTATTTAATTAGCAGTTATTAAATTTTGTGCTTTTTTTTTTTTAAGGATGATGATGCCGAAGCTATCCTTGCTGCAGACTTTGAAATTGGTCACTTTTTACGTGAGCGTATAATCCCAAGATCAGTGTTATACTTTACTGGAGAAGCTATTGAAGACGATGATGATGATGTGAGTGAATCTGAATCCTGTAGTAAAATAATTTTGTGAGGGTATGATTGTCCCAACTGATAAGAGGTTTAATGAATAGATGTGATTTTTTAAAAGATAGAATAATTCAGAGGCTAATTACTGATGGCTTCTAGATAACTTTTCTGAATTGCTTTAAATATGTCCTCTTAGGATCTTAGACTGCTCTGAATTAGTGAAACTTTATTGTGTTTGGTCATTGTTGTAGGTCTATAATGCCCTTGTCTTTGACCAAATAAAACATACCTAAAATGTTTTTTATTACTTAACATAACAATATTATGAAGCCATTCCAGTAGGTTTTAGGTCCTTTTTGTGCAATGTGTTCACATAGGTAATATTTTTTAGTAATAGTTGCCTGATCACACCCACGATTGTACTGTGTTCTTTAATTTTTTAAATTGTCATATTTAGATAATAGCACTGAACTGAGTGATGCCTGCAGCTATGTCATTTGTAATTAGTCGCCTTAGGGAAAGTATTTTTCTCTTTTTAGATCTTAGTGGAGACAATGCTGGCTGTAAGTAATGGTACTCTCAACTGTCTGTTAGCTACATTCACACTTCATCCTTTTTTCCCTTTTTAGTATGATGAAGAAGGTGAAGAAGCGGATGAGGTAATGTTTACCAAATGAGCAAATAATTCTGTTTAACACATTGAGAAGCGAATTGAGTGACTTATGTATTCCTTTGCTATATACTCATTATTCTGTGATACGGGATAAAAACTTTTTGGAAAAAAATATGGTTTTAGAATTCTACAGCCAAACAATGTATGTATAAGGTTTCAATAAATAAATTGCAAAACTCAGAACATTTTTTTTATTTCAAATAATTCTGTTCTGCTGCAGGGTTATCAGCTCTTTGAAGAAGTCAAAAGCTGCAGTAAACTTTTTCAACGTTGGCTGCAGTAAATCTTTTCAATAAAAGCTGTCTGGATGTCTCAAGTTGTGTTGGGAAATTTTTCATATTAGAAGCTTTCAAATTAAATTGCATTGTCACCAAACTCTGTAATCATGAAAATCTTTTGACCTATAGAGTAACTTGTATTAAAATTTCTCCATACATTATGAGCCATTTCTTCCTACTATGTACCTACTTCATGGATGCATTTTGAACTTTAATATAGGAAGGGGAAGAAGAAGGAGATGAGGAAAATGATCCAGACTATGACTCAAAGGTGAGCAAAATTAGTGCTGCTTTCTGTAAAATTTAAGGCAACTTAAGAGTCCATGTTTCTTCATATAAAGTTTATTTTTGTCCATTAAAGTCTTCAGTAAGTCTTCTTGACTGGAGATTTTATATATATATATATATATATATATATATTTTTTTTTTTTTTTTTTTTTTAATCCTCCACTGGTATTTATTTCAATAGTGCATATGTCAGTGCACCTTTCCTAAGAAACTTTTATATTTGGTTCTGACTTTGTATTTTTCATAGTTTCAGGCTAAATAAACCCTAAGATTCTACTTTCAATGCACTTTATCTTGGGCTTTTTTTCCCCACAATTTTTGAAGCATTTATAATTACTTATTGCTAGTGTTCTTAGGTTGTTTTTCCTCCAAAGGATAGCTTATAAACAAAGGTCAGTTTTTAAGTAACCTGAATGCAAAAGTGCTTGGGAATTAGGGAGGCAATACTGTGTTAGATTCTCCCAACCATCTTTTTCAGAGAGTCCCAATCTGTTATTCTTGAGAATTTGTTATATCAGGGTTAGTAAAGCCCATTGTCTCCCCCAAAATACATAGTACCTTATCCGGGTTCTGTTGAAACTTAAGGTTTCTGTTAAATGCATTCATTCATTTGCTAAATTCTGTAAAATGTCCAGAAGATACTTTAGTGAGCAGGTAAGAGAGGGGGTAGTTAAAAATCATACTAAATATTCTAACAGGTATGAATCATTCTTGACAGTTAATGGAATTAGGAATTATGAGTAATTGATCTATAAGAAGGCAAAAATAATTGGTAATATGACTAACATAAATTGCTTGGTTATTTTATTTTGTAAGATTACGGCTTTGTTTGTCTTATTTTATGGAATTCATTCCATAATGTAAATTTTGGGCTTTATTTTAGCACTTCGGTGACTTGCTAACATTTGAATAAATAATTTGCCATCATTGCTATACTGTTTCTTTAATTTGGCAAGAATTTTGGTAGAACAGTGAGATAATATAGTTAAGATAGTTTAATTACTGTTGAAATGAACTGAAGCAGGTAGAAAAAGATAGATTGACTTGTTGTTTTCCTTTAACAGAAGGATCAAAACCCAGCAGAGTGCAAGCAGCAGTGAAGCAGGATGTATGTGGCCTTGAGGATAACCTGCACTGTAATAGCCTAAACACAACTATTATTTACTTACAGCCTTATGTTTTTGTATTTTCTTAGTAGACTCAGTAATTTTTTTTAAAGGAAAGGAACTGATAATTTTAAAGACCAATTTGTTCTACTTAGCATTTTAACTATAGTTTTTCTGCCAGCTCTATTGATTGCACAAATTCTTTCACGCGTATTCATTCATCACTACATGGTTTGGTTCTTCTGGAGTAATTTTTATCATGTAACAGTGTAGCTATGAAAGTGAATAGCCCTGTTACAAGAAACAGTTTTTTGTTGCGCTGATTCCCCCACCCCCACCCCCCCGAAGAACCAAAGTATTTTTTCAGCTGGTAATTGAATTGGGTTTAAGTTTGCTTGCACTATCTGTGCCTTTCATTACTTTGTTACAGAAATGCAGTGACTTAGACTTAAGACAATTCATTTAAAAAATAAAGAACTTGTCAAGACAAATATACGGTTAAGAATTTCCAGTAAGATCACAACTGATAACTTAGATTATTAATGGAATTTTGTACTTTAGGTGACATAGTTAGAGAAGCCTAGTAAGGAAACCATATAAGGAAACCTAACTCATAGCATGGTTATTGGTTACTATAGGGAGGTGAATAAAACCCATTTTCAGAAGTTAAGCCTCATTATTTTAACTGTACTTTTAAATTTAACCTCCATTAACTAAGCATCTTTTCTTTATGGTAGGGTCTACCTTCTGCTTCCCTGGAAAGGATGAATTTACATCATTTGACAAGCCTATTTCAAGTTTTTTTGTTGTTACTGTTTGCTTGTTTTTGTTTTTGCAGCCTAAAATAAAATGTCATATAATTTTAGTTCTCACAAGATAATGTCTTAATTTTGTACTAATTCAGGTAGAAGCAGAGGCCTAGCTTGAATTAATCATTGTACCCAGTTTACCATATTATGGAAGAAGAGAGTGTCAACTTTGGGAGAGGTACTACATCTGCTAATATAAGAAGATAGAAAAGAAAAAATCTTAAATGATGTATTTTTTTCTTAAAAAAAGATTAAACGGTTAAAATTTTATTTCCTTTGGTTAGAACTAGAGAGAAGGCCCCACGCTCTATAGTTAATTCCAGTTCTTATTGCTTAAAGTATGTCATTTTCCCATGCTTCTGTTTACTGTATATTACAATGGGTAGTACTGTTTACCTAACTACCTCACAGATATGTTAAGGCATGTTAAGTTAAATTTTATGAAATGTTTCTCGATCTCATTAAAAGCTCCAAAATTTGAACCTGTTTGTACCACAAGTATAATATTCAGCATTTTATTCATACCAGGGTTTGATAGTTCAACTGGAAAACAAAGGTTTAAGTACCTCTGTTCTGGATCTGGTCAGGCAACACTCTTGCAGATCTTTGTGTGGCTCCTGTCTAGTAAGTGGATGGATGAGCAGCTCTTTCACAAGGTCCAAGGATTGCTTTTAGGTATTTTAGTTTATGACCATATTGTAGTAAAATACTGCAGAGATCATGGGACTGAAGTAGAAAGAAGACCGTATTTAGGGGGGAAATGCCATTAAATTTGAGACTCATAGAGCCACATTTAAAATACCTCAGGCTAATTACTGTTAATTTTTTTGTGATGAGCTTAAAAGCTTTGACAGTGAGGGTGGATTAAATGGATTCTAACTAGAGGCTGGCCTAGAGTTCCTGCTCTTCATAAAACTGTATTGTTTCTAGAGGTGATAGAGCTTCCTTTTTGAAAATCTAGTATTAAGATCTTGGAATGTGAACACATTTTGTTATTTGTATACTACTTTTCATTCCTCTCCTGAGATTTTAATTAACTACTGGAAATCCTTAACCAGTTGCAATGGTTTGTAGGAAAAAAATGCCATGAAAACACCCTGTTTTTCCTCCTTATTTTCAGAATGCTTTTGGTTGCTTTAATTAGACATTCTTTGCTGATTTTTTTTTTTTTGGTGCCCATAGCTCATGTGATCATAGCCTTTTCTGAACCTGACCAATTTTAATCTAAAGATAGAATCCCATTTTTAATTAACTTAAGTAGCAAAACCACTATTTTTTTCCTTCATTCCTTTAGGTAATAGCTATTGCCAAAGTAAAGGGGCAGATACGATTTCATCTTGTTATATAAAGGGGATGTGGTTTGCAGAGGAATTGTTTTCTTATTCAAGTTGGCATTGCAAGGGATATCAGTGTTTATCTGTGCCATCTCTCCAGTTCCAAAATGGTTCTATTCCATTCTAGAAATTTGAAATATGTAATTTGAAATCCTTAATAAAATTTGCATTTAATTTTATAAAATGTATTGGTGATATTTTGGGTGGTTTTTAAAAAATATGAATATATTTATATATATAGATATAGATATATATATACTTTTTTTTTTTCAAGAGCAGAGAGTAGAGATGTTTAGAGTATGCTATTCTGTGCTGAGGCCAGAATGGCCTGTGAATTTATTTCAAGAGCAACCTCCCAAGCCTTGCTAAATGGAGTTTGTTATTGGAAGACTGGAAAGATTTTTACTCTGAGTTAACAATAGACATTTTTGAGACACTTTGAATTTTGTCTTCACATTTTCAGTTTATAGTTTTCCCTAGCTCAGGCACGGATTACCGAGAAGTTCTATTTTTTCTGTCTAGAAATGGCAAAATCTCATATATATATGTATACACACACACACACACACATATATATGTATAAGTTAATACTTTGAAATTTTTTTCCTGTCATTTTATGGTCATTCAAATATGGTAAGTAAACATAAACAGTTTCATAAGTCACTTAGTTTTTCAGTTTAACACATGTCTGAAAGTTAAATTTATGTAATTTTTCAGAATTATTTTATCTAGTTCACTGGAGCAGTGTTAGTATTTCTGTGACATAATATCTAAATAGTGTGGAACTGGCTTACAGAGTAGTACTTAAGAAAAATGGGATTCTACCTCTATTTCCTTTTTAGCTCATTTAATAACAAACCTGAAAGGGGAGATACTAGCTTTGATAGAAATATTTTCATTATTTCTGTGAATAGGTTAATGCATACTGATTGGTATATGATAAGGCCCGTAAGATAACTGAATTACCTGTTCTTATTACTGCTGCTTGTAAGACAGTATGAATTTGTGGGTTTATCTGAGTTGTAGGCCATTACCATTATTAAAAATAAAACTTTGACTTGTTTGAAAACCTTATCGTACAATGCAGAAATACTAAAGTAATAATCAGATATCCTTTGAATGCTTGATTTCAGGGCTTGGTTTAGAATTTGAGTCCATTTTTTTGGATTAGTCTTATAAAAATGTTAGCCTTTATATTTTTGACTAAGTCAAGCCAAATGTTAATTTTAAATGTACAGAATAAGCGGATAGGTTAGAAGAAGCATATGTTCTTACTAGGAACTTTAGAAAAGAAATCATACACTATTTTAGTTTTTTTTTTTTTTTTTTTTAATCTTCTGCACTGTATATATACATCGTAATTGTGAACTGGATTTTGTTTTGAAAATATGTGTTCGTAATTTAGGTAATTTACTACTTAAGGCACTAAGTCTCATAGCTGAAAAGTAAATGTAAATGATAATGGTGAAATTAACTTATAGTTGTTTAGTGGTGATTTTGTATACTGGTTTAAAAATCCAGATATCAGAATACAACTTGGATAAAAACCAAGTTCTTGGACTAATTTAGGGATCACTTATGTGACTTCTGAGAAATGGAAACATCTTTGTTGGAGTGTGAAATTATTTTAAGGATAAGTGTTTATCCATGAGAAATTTTTAATTGATGTATTAATTATATTTAAAAAATACAATATACTTTGTATCTTGTGTTTCTTCCATTTGACATCATTCTGTACTTTTAGATTTTTCCATTAAAAAAATTAAGGTATTGACTAATTATCTTAAGTGTAAAATAGATGAGAAATGGAACATAACAATTTAGAAATAATAAATTACCAGCAGGAAATAAGTCATTATTCCAGTTGCTTAATTTTCATATTGGAAATTTGGGAGTTTGTAACTTTTGTAGGTTTCTTATATGCTTGTTTTGAGTTATATTATTTTGAAACTCAGGAGGAAATGTTTCTTAAAATAAAAGTAGATTTTAGTTCTTTGTGTATTTTAAACTTAAAGCCAAGAAGAAGGAAATGGGGATAAATGGCCAAAAATGGAAGTGCTGGAAGTTGACAGATCTCCTATCAAGAGTTTAATGGTATTGATATTCATAATGAAGTTAGGCAATTGTGGCTCTAGGAAATTTTTCATGGGAGTGGTAAGTATTCTACCAGAAGACTCAAAGTTAGGTGACCACTTTTAGCTGGCATTTCATTTGTATAGTGAGAGCCTTTGAGGGGAGCAGTTCAGGGGAAGGTACTGGAGGAAATGCACTGAAGGCCCTGAAGTAGGACAATACAGGGCACACCCAAGGTATTGAGAGAATGGATGGTGATAGAAGGGGCCAAGTCACGGAAGACTGAGCCATAGACTTAAGTCCTTTAGAAGGGGTTTAAAAACATTAAAACACGTGAGTGAGGATGACCTTTCCATGAAGGTTTTTAAACTAAGACATGATAGATAGTGTAACTCTAACTCTGAAAATATAGTTGGAAGAATTTTTGTGAATTCATACATCACCATTTATTGATTTTGCTACATAGCTCCATATTCTTATACACATTTTTTTTCCGAAACCGTTTGACAAGAGTTTGCAGGCATCATGTCCTTTACACCCTCCAAATGCTGTATCTTCTCAGTATCAAGACATTCTTTCAGAATCACAGTACAAGTAATCAAAATTAGGAAATGTTACTGTGTAATAAAACTTGTTTTGGCCAGTGAAAATAGATTTAAAAACTGAACATAGACTGAATAAGGTAATCCAACACAGTATTTTTTCCTACCCTTCCTCCAGTCTATATTTGTAACTACTGTCACCCAATAGGTGGACCTAGGATTGAGAATTGTAGGTGAGGTTGCTTTGTAGGAATAAGAAACTGGATAAAAATGGAAAAGACCTAACTTTAGACCACAGCCTTATAAGACCCTAATCAAGTGACTCTAACCATCATTTTTAAATAAATGTAGGAATAAAATGGTTGTAAATTGGGTAGTAGAATGGTTAAATACAGGCTTTGAGGTTCATCTGTCACTGTTATTCAGCTTCATTATTTTATGAAGTTTGTGGTGAGCACTAATGAGAACATGTTAGTGTTTGGGGTACTCAGCATTTAGCTTTCTACAGATAGAGACATCTGTAATAGGCATTTAGTAAATTTTCTTCTAAACACAAGAAAATCTAGACCTTGCAGTTGGGATCATCCTTTACATTGATTTTGGCAGTTAATTTCAGAACTAGTTGTGTTTTTGTTTTTCTATAGGCAAAATGGCTCTTGGCTATGCGGTCCCCTACTTGGTATACAAGGGAGGCTAAGACTGGATGATAAATATAAACCTATTCCCCCATTTTAAAGTTTTTGATGTAAAAATTAAAATAGAATTTGTTTTCTGAAGTCAGCTAGTTTTTTTAAATCTCATTACCTATTTTTTTCATATGCTAATTTTTTGTCTTGGCCTACATCCAGAAACTAGGGTAAAATTTATGAAGTCTGATAGAGTGCTTAGATATTAATGCTCCAAAACACCCAAATTGTCACTATTCAGCCCTAACATTTTACCTGGCTCTGGACATTGCAACAGATGACCTAAAAGGCAGACAATGAGACAGGTACCTGTTTTGAAATCAGATGTGATCTTAGATTTGAGTTAGGCTAGTCAATGTAAGTTTCAAAACTAAAAGCTGGATCTAATTTTTGCTGTTCAGTAGGCTTGGTGAGCGGGCCTACAACCTTTAGGACAACTTCGATACCAACAACCCAGCCTTTGTAATGTGTGTTTGCACAGTCTGTCACCTCAGCTTGGCTGCCTTTTCTTTCACCTTTTTCCTGCCATTAGTCTTGTACATGTATCTTATTCAACATAGAGTCTCTTCATTGATTTAATACCTACTGTGGTCCTTCAGTTCTGAACTGGTTCTCCTAGTTTAAGAAGGATGCATGCATGCTCCCTGTTTGATTTCCTAACTTCTAGTACTGGGCCTGAAAGATGGTAGGTATACAGCAAACTTGCACGTGTAGGTCAAGTAGGATTTATCAGGACTCTTGCCATTATACCAAGCCATTGTGTTGTATGAGGTCATATAGCAAGGTAATGATGGGTTCTCATTAGTCAATTTCCTTTTTAGTGAAATTCCTACATACTGGGTGTCTTATATTGAGAAAATAGACAAAGCTGGGTTGTGTATATTCTGTAAACACTGGTTCTATGAGATCCTGGAGAGCATCAATAGTTGCAGTTACCTAGTACTGCATAACAAACCCTCTCTCAAAACTTTAAACATGGAGAAGATTTATATTGTTGACTCTGCTTGGTTATTATGGTTCATGTCATCTGTACTCAACAACATTAGGGGCAGCTTTTGAAGGATAGTGACTGGAATCATCTGAAGGCTCTTCATGCACAGGTGCAGGTGGTTGATGCTGGATGAGTCCTGCTGGGATGTGGCCAGACCGCTGCTTTATAGTACCGTGTCCAGGTTCCAAGGGTCGCATCCTTTTTATGATCTACTCTGGGAGGTCATCACTCGTATTGGTTATAGAGTCAAGTCACAAATCCACTCAGGTTTAATTATGGAAGGTGACTCAACACCTTACTGAAAGAATAAGATTTTGGATAAATGAACAAATCTTATAATGGCCATGGTTTGGGTTTATTTAGGTTTTGAAAATAGAGTTGGATACAACAGTTTTCCAAAATGACCAGAAACCTAGAAAGTTTAAATTATACATTGTATGCCTGTTAATGGGGAAAGAATGTTTTATTCAATCATATTAGAATCTTTTATCATTGACTTTATTCTGAACAGTTGAGATTCCCAAACATGCACATAATTAGCTCA